GAGCACAGAACACCGTCCAGGCCCCACTGGGGACGGCAGCCTGGACTCAGCAGGGCTTCCTGGGGGAGGCACCTGAGCCACGGCCAGAGCTGCGGAGGAACTGGCTGAAGCGAGAGGGGCAGGGGCACTTGGAGCAGAAGCAACAGGCAGAAAGGGGCTGGGTAGGGAGACTAAGATTCTTCAGTCTCCAGATCCTGTGGCCTCTACAAAGGACTAGCCTTGTAGGCAGCTTTTAAATGCTTCTTTTTAAGTTATAATTTACGTGTGCAGAGATTTTTTATGAGACAAAGACTTTTATCTTGTCCCCTTTGGCCGGCAGGAAGCAGCTGGGGAGATGTGAACTGTCTGTACTATCATGTCAGCAGCAGAGAGACAATGTCACTGTGCACAGACCCCCAAATCCTGAACAGTGAAATTAATACACGAGGGTGAGACCAAGCTGTGGAGTTGTTGTGGTCCGTTCTGAGCATCATGGTATGGGCCAGGCCCTCCCCTGTGCCGGTGTGGACACACCTGTCTCTGCCCCACCGTCCTCCTGGGGTGGCCCCAGTCTAACTGTCAGTGCAGCATGTTCCTGTCAGAAGCCCTCATTGTGCAGGGTCCCTGGGAGGCACGTGGCATGGGCTGAGGGTGAGGGCAGGCTCCCGCTTTCTCTGTGACTGATGAGCCTGAGGGAGGAACGTGTTCTGCAGGAAAGAGCAAACTGCCTGCCTGTCACGATGGAACACACAGTGTCTGTGAGTCATTAGTAACTGGACATATTGCGCAGATGCCTTTGTGTGTCTGCAGAGCTCTGTGCACACAGACCTCAGTAGAGCTCTGTGCAGAGTTCAAGGTGCTCACAGGGGGCCTCACAGGGACTTCTCCACGAGACCCGTCTTTCTGGTCGCCCAGCCCAGTTCTCACACCCACGGTGACGTCTGGTCTCGCCTGTGCGTCTGGCAGAGCCTCCTGCTGGGGCCCTGCCCCTGTGGGACGTCGAGTCATGAGAGCCAAGTGACCTGGCTCTCCAGCGGCCGGGCACACGCCAAAGCTCGCTGTCCTGTGGAGGGAGGGGCTGTGGCTGGAGAGGCCTCGTGGGCAGTGGGCAGCTGCCGAGCCAGGGCCCACAGGCGCCGCCAGCGAGCCACACGGCCACAGCCCTGTAGACGGGCGAGCGTCCTCGCAGTGCCCTGGGCGTGGGTGGAAGCCGGGCGAGACTTGTCCTGTCGGGCAGAGCGTCAGCGCAGCTGTGGCCCATTGGAGCCAGAAGGCGTTTGGGGTTGCGTGAGGGTCAGACAGGCAGGGCCGCGGCCCAGAGACGAGCTGGTGTCTGGTGAGGAGGCACACTCTGCTCCCGCCGGGACTCCAGAGGTCGGAGCTCTCTGGGAGTAGGACAAATGCTTCCTACAGGCGGGTTCCCAGGGTGACCTCCAAGGACGAGTGCGCCACGCACTTCCTGGAGCCTTCCCCTTACTCCCTGGTATGCGGCCTGCATTCTCCACATCCCGCAGGGTACCATGGCGCATGACACGTGCAGTGTGCAGGAGCCATTAGGACCTGAGGTTAGCACATTAGGCTCTGGGTCCTAATGCCTCAGGGCTGACAGGTGCTCAGGGAGGGCAGGAGAAGCCCAGGCTGGTCCCTGTGCCTGTCTGGATGAAGTGCTGGGTGAAGCACATACAACGTTGGCTCTCTTCTGTTGGAGCTACACTCACACAAGACCAGTGCGTGTGCACACAAGTCATGCGCTCCCCACGCCTGGACTCCTGCGTGGTGCCTGGTGGGCTGGCACTGGGCAGTTCTGGCCATGTCAAAGCAGAGCTGCTGGGAGGTTCCCAGAAACATCATTTGTGAGGACAGAAAGGGGCAGTGGCAGCACATGACATAGGCTGTGATGGAAACAGCACGGTGTGTGCCCCCCAGAAGGGCAGAGGCAGGTCGCAGCGTCAGTCTGACTGGGGTGCATCCTGAGATTCCTGTGTCTGCGTTTATGCGTCCACCTGGGCTGGGGGTCGTGGCTCTTGCATGTTTCCCGGCAGGTGTGTGGCGACTGGGCCTGGTCCTGCGCACTTCTGAGGTTGTCTTCCTGGAGTGCAGACATCTTCAAGGGGGGGCCTGAGTGGCTGAAGCTGCCCCAGTCAGCTGGGGAGGTCTCTGATACCCCTCTGGACTTGGGGTGCCCTGGCGGAGCGGCTTCCTGGTCTTCTTCAGAGGCTCATGAGTACTGTCCCTGCTTCTCCACACCCCACCCATAGTGCAGGTCAGCGGTCCCAGCAAGTGTCTCAGCAGCCGAGGGCAAAGGCCAGCTGCCAGCTGCGGGCTGTGGCTCTGGGAAGTCACTGCCCTGCCCTGTCTGCAGGGGCCACGCACGCATGCTCCGCTGGAGAAGGCGGCCGTGTGTAGGAGGCATCATCACCCCCGAGGGCGAGGCCTTGTTAATCTTGGGTTACGTGGGAGCTCTTTCTTCCTCAGAGGTGTAAAAACCACTCATCGACAGCTTAAGCAATACCTCCGCTGTGTACAGTGGCCGTAAAGTCTAATTCCAAGAACTGCCCCTCTTGTCAGAGTCAAGCCCTTTTTGCAGGCGGATGGGCCTTAGGAGTCGCCACCCTTTTTGGAGGGTGCTGGTGTCGTCTCTAGTTAATCGTGACATTCTCGTGTCTCCCCAAACCCCACAGCCTCTGTCGTGCCCTGGCGGGTTGCTGGGGCCCGAGACGCTGGTGGGGCCGCACGCCTGCGCCGGGCCTGCTTGCTGGCGCCCAGGGTGGGTGCTGCGGGTTGGTTTGCGCCCACCAAGCCTGTGTCGAAACTCAGTCCCAGGATGGCTGGCTGGGAGGTGGGCCTCCTTGCGAAGTGTGCGGGCACAGGGCGGGTCCCTCCTGGAAGGATGAGGGCCCTCTGCACGCCCCCCAGGAAGGATTAGCTCCCAGAGAGCAGCGTCCTCATGCGCCCTCCCCCCACCACCTGCTCTCTTTGCACGTGGCTCTGCTTCCGCCGCCCACCATGAGAGGACACAGCCCGAGGACCCCACTAGATGCCCAGTCTTGAACTTTCCAGCCACCAGAACTACGAGCTAAATAAATCCACTTTTCTAAGTCATCCAGCTTCAGGTGTTCTGTTACAGCAGCTTGAAGCAGCTGACCATGGGCTGAGAAGCAGAGCCTCACGGGGCTGGCACAGGGTGTGCCCTCCAGAACAGTGTGGGGGGCAATGCTCCACGAGGCCACAGCCCCTTTGCCCCTCGGGCCCGCAGGCCATGGATGCAGCACGTAGACAGTGCTGGGGCAGTCAGGGTGGCCATCCCTTGGGGCTCCTATCCCCTCTGACACCGATTCTGCATGAAGACCAGGCATAGAAATGCTTGGCAGTTATCTGCCTGGGGCCTTGGGGAGCAGCCACCCCATCCCCAGTGGTTGGGCCTTTGGGCCTGGGCCCCACCCAGCAGGGGTTCCCCATGGGGCGTTGGGCAGTCCCCAGCCCCTAGCCCCACAGCCCGGCCGCCACTGTGGCCGTGCACTGGCCTGCAGTGCTCGGTGAATGTGCCTTGAGAGAGTGTCTGCTGATGTCCCATGGGACCAAGAGGGACATGGGAACGTTTGTGTCACCTGCATCCCTCTACTTGTGTTAATGTGCCCACCAGAAAGCTTAAAATTGCTAACACGACTCATGTTCTGTTTCCATCAGGTGAAGCTCGGGGTCAGGGAGGGCCACAAGCTGATTTTTTTTATTAAAACCTGTTGCGATATGTTTTCTACTCAGAACTCAGGGCCATGTAAAGTGGGTCCAAGAGTGGGAGGTGAGCAGGCTCTGTGCTGGAGGTCCCTGCCCGCCCAGCACAGCCCCCCCCCTCGGCTTGCGAGCCATCCTGGCCTCCGTGGCTGCTGCGGACACCAGCAGGCCTGGCCACTTCTCAGCTGAGCTTGGTCTGAGCGGGAGGCGTTTGTCCTGTGCTCAGCAGGGCTCACTGGAGAGGTGAGGGCTACGGTGTGCACGGGTGCTGGCTGAGGGGGTGCTCAGCGTCTTCTGTTCTGGCCACAGAAGAGTGAATGTACTCTCTGGGCTCCTGGAAGACGTCAGGGGTCGAAGGAAAAGACGTTTCCACCACGGGAAGTACAGGAGCAGGAGGGCTAACGAGGTGGGGTGGCCTCAAGAGGCTCCTCACGAAGAAAATGAGAATAAGCATGTGGGGTGAGGAGACCCAGGAGGTCACAGAGCCACGGGGACATGGACGGGAACTAGGGGAGACCTAGGGGAGACTTGCAGCCACAGGGATGGAAAGGGGGGAGATCAAAGAGGGGCCACAGAGCCACGGGGACATGGACGGGAACTAGGGGAGACGCAGCCACAGAGACACACATGGGGAGGGGAGTCCTGGAGGGGCTTGCAGGCTGTGGGCTGCGGTGTCTGCGTCAGGCACCTTATCTGGGATCCCTGTGAGAAGGGCAGACACCGACCCGCATGGGGTCTGCCCCCATCTGAGCCCATGAGGCGACCCTCGTTGGCGAAGGGACAGTGTGCTGCCAGACTGTGAGGTGGCAGGAGGGCGGCAGGAGTGGTGGGCAGAGGGTGCAGAGCAGTGGAAAGGAGCTGCAGACTTTGGCCACTTCCACTTTTCCAACAGTCCCCTAAGGAGTCAGTTTGCAAACAATAGCAAGGTTTAACAAGAAAGGACTTTTTAAAAATGCTAAAGGCTTCCGAAGTGCTTACCCAGCGCAGGCCTCTGTCCGCAAGTGTTGGTTCCTTTCCCAGACGTGGCAGAGTTGCCCTGGGCCCGGAGCGGTTCCCGGGTCCCCTGTGCGGGCTGGGCCGAGCTCGCAGGGCGGTGCCTTCTGTGTGGACTGTGCGCTCGACAGGAGGCTGTGGAGAGGGACAGCTATGAGGCAAAGGGGGTCCGGGGCCAAGCTGCATGCGTGACGCCCTGTCTGTGGTGGTGCTGACCAGTGGCCAGGGCCCTGTTCTTCCTTGACCCCTCCCAGGTGACTGGCGGAGTATTTTTCTGTCATTTGATTGTCTACTAGGTTGCCATGACCATCGATCCAGCTGAGCCCAACGTGAGATTTAAGAAGAACTACCTGGACTTAATGCCCCCTTTCGACCGTTCTAAGCACAAGCATGTGATTGAAGACCAATATTGTCACCTGTGCGAGTCTTCCTGTGAGTGGCCCTCACACAGAGTCCCGGGTGGGGGCGCCTCGGGGGCGTGGGGGCTCGGAGGCTGCCAGCCTCTTGGGGACAGAGCTCTGCCCTGGGACTCTTGGCTCCGCCCTGGGAGGCGGCTGCGGCTGCGGCTGCTGCTTTGGAGGCAGCCGGCTCGGCGTGTCTGCTTCTGCAAAGGCGCCCTCGCTGCCCCCGGATGCGAAGCAGCGGCCCTCAGACGTGTTTCATCCTCAGTCCCCCCTGTGGTCCAGGGCCAGGGAGGGCTGTCTTTCTTGGGGTTTCCAAGACGAGCCTCCTGCCCCCCCCCAGAGAGGAGGAGGGAAAGTGGTGGCTGGTCGGGGTCTCGGGGCCCTGGGCACATCTGTGGGCGGCCTGGGCCGGGGCTGCCGGGCGGCGTGAGGCTGCAGGGCGGCCGGTAGGCACAGGGTGGGGTCCAGCCGCAGCCTCGGCTCCCAGCACCACGTGGCGGCGTGGCCTCCTCCCGGGCCTCACCCAGTGTGTGTGCAGGGTCGGGGAAGGCTGGGGGGTCTCTCTTCAGAGTGGTGCCCTGCCCCTGGGGCTGCCCTCCCCTGAGCCCAGGGAGAGGCCTTGACCTCCTGTTTCCTGCTGGACACCCACTTCCCATGCCACAGGGTACTAGTCCCTCATGGCGCCCAGGCCTGAGGACTGGGCTCTGACCTCACCCCACCCTGCATGTGAGGCTCACGGGCACCTCCCCGATTCTTCCTTCCAGGAGCCTGAAAGCAATACATTGTGGATCTTGCAACAAGTGCATGACTGGCTTTGACCACCACTGTGAATGGCTCAACAACTGCATGGGCACCAGGAACTACCTGTGAGGAGGGGCAAGGATGGTCCCCAGAGGCCATGGTTGGGGGGGGCATGCAGGAGGAAGGGCAGGGGGCAGAGGGTCCTTGTGGGTGAGAGGGTGCAGGAGGGCATGGACTGCATGGGCTACGGGCAGGAGGTGTCCTCTTGGGACCACCTCCCTGTACTCCTGCATGGCAGAGCCCAGCGTCCTTGCCCCTCTGGTCTCCTGGTCTGGTTCTGACACGTTTGTGGAACCACTCTTGGACATGCCAGATCTAGCTCATCACACAGAGTCAATCATTAGGGACCCTATTTTGAACACCCAGGTGCCAGCCCCACCCAAATGCCAGAGGCTGGCCGAGGCCCCTGAACTCAATGTCCTGGTCCCATCTGCCTCTTCTATGTCAAGGCCGTCACCTCTGAGAGCAGGTGGCCAAACCACGGAGCATGGGAGTGAGCATTTCCCCTGCACAGGAGGCAGAGGATCTGTGGGGCTCTCGGGGCCCCGTGTTCTGAGCCAGATTGTCCATTGGCACATGAAATCCCCTGCTATTCTGTGCCAGGTCTGAAAGGGGCCTCGGCTCGGGGCCAGAACAGGCCGCCCGTCCCGGCCGAGTGTCAGAACGTGCTGTGAGATTCAGCTCCCTCTGCCTACCCACCATGCTGCACGGGAGACCTGGAGACGCAGGCGAGAACGCATGTCCTGCAGAATTGCACGCCTGGGAGCGAGCTGGGCGGCCCCGCCCCTCCTGCTCCCCTGGAGAGGGGCAGCCCCAGGTGGCCAGAGGCAGGGCCAGGTCCTCTCGCTCATGCTGGCCACAGGGCTCGCTGCCTCCTGGATGCTGGCTTGTCGTGGCAGTGTCTGGTTCCTCAGCTGGTCAGATTCCTCTTTGGAAGGTGCTATACGGGGATGTTGAGGGCATGTGGCCCCACCATGAGGGGCACATGGGCACATGGCAGGGAGAGGCACTGCCTTCTCAGAGGAGCACCCAGAGGGAAGGGTGCTTTGTGGAGCAGCACCACCCATGCTCACAGATAGACTGCGCTGGGTTTCATGACGTTCAGTCATGAGCCCCCAGTGCGGTTCCGGAACTCAGGGCCCAGCCTGCACGCTCATTGGGGAGGGAGCCCTGGTCTGAGCAAAGCGGGAGGTGGGCAGTGCAGGCGCACCTCTGACCCTGGGGCCAGCCACGCCCAGCGGGCCCGGTTGGCCTGGGCACATCAGGCGGTGTCTATGAGCCTCAGTTTCCTTATTTGTGAAAAAGGACTGGTTCCCCTCCTCACAGCCTCCGTGTGGGGATTAAATGAAGCCATGCCTGCACTGTGTAAATTGCAAGGCAGTCAAAACTATAGGTGTGACCAACAGTCATCACCAGTCAGGGGCATCTGCCTGGAGAACTGGGAATGGTCAGATGTGGGGCACAGAGCAGGGTGGGCCAGAGGGTGGCAGGAACACTCAGGTCGCCTCCCTTCTTGGGTGGCCGGCTGGTACCTGGCCTGTCTGTCCTCAGCTGGCTCTTGTGCCCCGGCCTCAGCCTCTGCCTCTCCCTCAGGTTCTTCTTCCGCTGGGTGGCCTCATCCTCAGTAAGCCTGGTCTGCATTATGGCGTCCTGCTGTTCGTCTCCATGCAGTTCTACACGGACCCAGACCAGCTCCACAGACCTGGAGTTGGTGAGAATGCTGCCGCCATGCTCTGGGGCTGCTGTGTCCACACTTGGCCTCCAGCCCCACGCTCCAGCCACCTTCCAGGGCAAGAGTGTTGAGTCTGGGAGGGGTCAGCCCCACTCACACCAGCGAGAGGGTGGGGGGGCTGGAGCTGGCAAGCCCTGGTGTGCCCCTGGCTGGGCGCCTCTTGCAGGCTTCAACGCTGGGCTGCAAGCTGCGGCCCCGGGAGGCTGTGCAACCAGGCGACCCTGTACTGCCCAGCCCCTGGGCACAGGGAAGGCAAGCACCCAGCCTGCAGGAGAGGGGAGAGCAGAAGGGGCCAGTGGTGCAGGGCATGGGCTCCAAGGGGCAGCTCCATGGAGCTCTCTGCTCCGTGTCCAGGTGCCCGGGCCTGAGCAGCAGACGTCTGCAGCAGTAGAGGGAGCGGTGTGTTGGGCTCAAGGTGGCCTCCAGAGAGGTGTGCATGTCCCAACCCCGGACCTGTAACAGCCACCTTATGGGGAAAAGGGTCTTTGCAAATGTGATTAAGGATCTTGAGATGAGGAGACCATCTGGGTTATCCGGGAGGACCCCAATCCAATGACGAACATCCTCATAAAAGACAGAAGAGGAGACACAGACACGGAGGAGAAGCCACGTGGAGACGGACGCAGAGACTAGAGTGATGTGGCCACAAGCCAAGGGACGCCTGGAGCCCCGGGAGCTGGAAGAGGCAGGAAGGAGCCTGCAGAGGGAGCACGGCCCCGAGAAACCTGCTTGTCAGACTTGGCCTCCAGAATGTGAAAAGATGCTGTTGCTGAAGGCCCCCAGAGTGTGGCCATCTGTCATGACAGCCACAGGATGCTGACCCTCAAGCACCGGAGGAGCAGCCGCTCAGGGTCAGATCGCAGCCACTTGTCTCCCTGCCCTGGGGTTGGGTTGAGGCCACCTGTCTCAGCCCTAGGCATGGCTTCTGTAGGGTGTCAGAGCCAACCCTCAAGGCAGGAGGGGCAGGACCAGCACACCACTCGTTCTAGAACATTCCCAGAACCAACGCGATGTCAAAGCTTTCAAGAGTGAGCTTTGCTCTGCCTGTGTGGAAGGCCCTTCAGCTCCTCTGCCCACTGGGAAGAGCCGGCTGTGACCCCAGGGCTACTCAGACGCTCCTGAAGCACTTTCTGAGCAGGCTGCACTGGGTGCGCCTGCCCTCAGGCCCAGCGCCACCTGCCTGATGTGCACTGAGGAGTCCTCTTCCCAGACGGTCTCCACGTTACCTGGCCTCTCGCTCCGGTAGGATGTGGGGGGGGAGGGACAGGAGCAGAGCTGTCGGCCGCAGGGCCCTGGCGCGGCTTCTCTCCTGGAGACACACCAGCTCTGCACAGGACTGTGACTGGCTCCATGGAAGTTCCTGACTGTGGACTGGAGCGATTTCCTGCATTTACTGTTCCAGAAGATTCCACAGGGCTTCATCGTCACCAGATCCCTGAGCAAAGCCAGGTCTCTCTGCTTCTCTCCTTGGAGCTGGACCCGTTGTGACATCGCTGGCTGAGTGGGGTCCAGCCCGGCCCCACGGAGCTCTGCCACCCCACTGTGGGACGCAGATGTCGGGGCTGGAGTTCAGTCTCCCACTTCTCCACCCTGCACACTCCTCAGTGTGCTGCTCACACCGGGGTTTTGGAAGTGATGTGGCTTTGAATGCTGGCTGCTCTGGGGTCTCGAGGCCGTCCTAGAGATGCCCCCAGGTGAGGGCTGCGGCCCCCTGTCCTATCTGAGGCAGGTTGAGAATGGAAGGGCCCAGGGAGGCAGGAGGGCCTGTGCAGGGCATGGGTCTCGGGGGCCGGCGGGGGGACAGGCTCATAACCTGGGCACTCAGTTTCCCTCCTGAGCCCAAGTGGGGATTGTGACAGCAGCCGTGGTCGGGGGGACCAGGCCTGGGTGAGGCAGGCATGTTGGAGTGGGGCGGCATCCCCCGGGCTGATCGAAGGCTGCTGTGTCAGAGGGCTGGACAGACGGGCCTCTGTCTCCACAGATCTCGGGGGGCACCGACACGTGGCTGTGGTTCCTGCCCGTCTTCCCCGTCGAGGTCAACACAAATGTCTCGTTACTCATCCTCATTCCCACCATCCTGCATGAAGCCTGCAGCCTGGTCTCCATCGGGCATGTGCTGATCTTCACCTCCGCCTCAGTGCCTGTCCCAGCCCCGCCCCGCGTGCCCTCACCTGTCCCAGGCAGGCAGCTCCCAGGTCAGCCCATGCCAGAAACGAGATCATAGGCAAAAAGAACAAATCACAGGAAGAAAAGAAATACCACCCGAGGGTCAGCAGGTCCATCCAGGAATTGAATTCACGTTCCTAGACCTGCAGAAAGCACAGAGAGGCTTCTAAACTAATAGATTTAAAATGTTTAAAGAGACAAAGGAATAGGACCTATTAGGCAAGAATAGGACATTATGAAGAAAGAATAGGTGGATTTTTAAAAGCACCAAATGGAGATTCTAGCAATGAAAATTAGCAGTCTCCATGGACAGGCTATCTGTCCATGGAGATTGCTAATGGACAAGCGCCGAGGGCAGCGCAGGCCTGGTCACATGGGACTGGGGAAGGTGGAGCTTCTCCCACTGCAGGAAGCTTTTTTTTGGAAGTCACAACCACGTCCTTCCTCGTGGCACACAAGGTCTCTGCCACAGCGGGTCAGCCCCTGGGCTGCAGTCTCAGAGGATGTCACAGGGGCCAGCAGCCAGGCCAGAGCGGCTCCAGGCTCCTGCGAACACGCTGCCCATCCCCTCTGGGGTGGAGGGCCAGGCCGGGCTCTGGGCTCACCCCAGCCCCTGCGCTCCCAGGGCGGCCTCCTCCCGCGGTTGCGGGCAGAACACCCAGCACCGAGCAAACTCCCCTCCCTGTTCCCACAAGCCACCATCAGCTCACAGCCCGAGAATGTTTCAGAGCATACATTTCTAATGCAAATCTTGCAGTTACTGTTGTCTTGCCTGAGGCTTGGAATCTTTTAAGCGTGTACAGTGAAGACGACTGGATTAAACCTTACGGGCACAATACTCAAAGCTATGTTTTCAGAATGTTCATTATGAAAGGCAGGGTCGGTCCCTGTGTGTGGAAGACACTTAGTGTACGTTTACTGACTGGAATAGAACCGCAGCCTCAGAGCGATTTCGCGGAGGCATGTCTGTGTCTGTCTGGGCAGAAGGTCGCCTGCTGCCTGGTCTGTAGACGTCGTGGCCGGGGTGGGCTGGGCAGCTCCAGGCCCCTTCCTTGCAGCTTAAACCCTGAAGAGTAGGGAGTTGTTTGGGCTACCATCAAAACCCTCTACCTCTGATATAATCAGGAATTTTAGAAAATACTGCTTTCTAAAATTGTCCAGAGGTTTCCCTTATGTGTAAATGGTTTGGGTTTATCAAACAATGAGGTCTTTCCTGGAGTTTTACGCCATGCAGAATTCATCTCCATTGTGAAAGAATCTCTCATTCTCAGACTCAGAGTTGGGGCAACTGTCCCCCACAATAGGAGGACCAGCCAAGGCAGAGCTGTGTGTCTCGGGACCACATGGTCCTGCCCACGTGTGCCTGGAACCAGCGGAGCTGACCTGTCCATTGATGCCAACTCAGCTTTGACACTCTGATTTTCAGTTTTATGGTCGAAAGTGATCCCAGCCAAAGTTGCTGTGACGCTCTGTGTGCTGATGCCCGTAGGGCCTGAGGGCGTCAGTGGGTGGGGAGCAGGACAAGAGGCAGAGGGACAGGCAGGCACGTCTGTTGGGTGGGGGGGAGCAAGCACCAGAGGCAGAGGGACAGGCAGGCACGTCTGGAGGGTGTGGTGTGGGCGTCGGTGGAGGGGAGCAGGCACCAGAGGCAGAGGGACAGGTAGGGCATGTCTGGTGGGTGTGGGGCAGGTGTGGGTCAGTGGCGTGGAGCAGGCACCAGAGGCAGAGGGACAGGCAGGCACGTCTGGTGGGTGTGGGGCAGGTGTGGGGCAGGTGTGGGTCGGTGGCAGGGAGCAGGAGCAGAGGCAGAGGGACAGGCAGGCACGTCTGGAGGGTGTGGGGCGGGTGTGGGTTGGTGGTCGGGAGCAGGAGCAGAGGCAGAGGGACAGGCAGGCACGTCTGGTGGGTGTGGGACGTGCGTGCGTTGGTGTTAGGGAGCTGGCACCAGAGGCAGAGGGACAGGCAGGCACGTCTGGTGGGTGTGGGGCAGGTGTGGGTCGGTGGTCGGGAGCAGGACCAGAGGCAGAGGGACAGGTAGGGCATGTCTGGTGGGTGTGGGGCAGGTGTGGGTCGGTGGTCGGGAGCAGGACCAAAGGCAGAGGGACAGGTAGGGCATGTCTGGTGGGTGTGGGGCCCCAGCCGCAGGCCGAGAGCTGAGGCAGGGAGGGCCTTGAGACTGTGCCCATTCTGGTGGCTCCAAGACGACTCTGCCTCTGCTCAGAGTGGAGCTAGAGGGGATGCGACCCACCGGGGTGCCAGAGCACCAGTGCCACCTGCCGCATGCTGGCTGCACTCTGCGCGGGAGACACTCTGTTCGCAGTAGGCCCCACGGCACTTACCCAAAGGTGTGCCCAAGCTGACCACCTTCCACAACTGCCTCCTTTTGTGTGGGAACCAGAGGCCATACGGAAGCAGCCTGGGCTAGAGCCAGAGGGCCTGACACCAGCACCCTTCTCACTCCTGATACCTGGCCACATCCCCCTGGAGGCAGATAGGGCACCTTGTGCCTGGACCACAGGTGTAGACACCTCACCTTACTTTATGCCTGCTTCTGAGAACAAACTCAAGGACACCTAGAGTCTTTTCCTTCCCTGAAGCTCAAAGACCCACTTGTGACTCTTAGGCTGCCCTGGTGGAGGCGTCCACACTGGTGGCGTTTGTGTACACAGGCTGCTGCCCTTAAGGATGTGCCGGTCCCAAGAGAACTGCAGCTCTTGCTGCGTGGGCTTGTCCCTTCCCGCCTTCTGCAGGGCGCTCACCGCAAGCAGCTCTGCCACGCAGCCTCCGCCAGGGCGAGAGCCTCGGGGAAGCATCACAGGACCAGGCCCATGGGGGCATTTGAAGGGAAGCCGGCCCGTGCTCGGCCAGGCAGTGGTGTTCCCAACAGGCTCCTGGAGCTGCAGAGACGGGAAGGGACACGTAGGCAGCTCTGCGGCCAGCATGCCCGCCTCCAGGACGGCCGGGCACTTCCCGGCTTTGCCAGTCAGGCCACTCCTCAGCCCCACTTGCCTTGGCCCAAGGTCCTTGACGCTGGGCTCGGCTCGGCCACAGCCTGGGGGGCTCTGGGAAGGACTTTTGGGGGCACCAGGGGGCATCGAGGGGAGGCAGAGCTTCGGCCTGCTCTGCTCCATGCTGGTGTGGTGTTGGGGGCTCACCTGCCGGCCTCCTCCCCAAAACCTGACCCTGCTCTCGTTTCAGCTCACCTTGGGGGGTCGGCCATGTCTGGACCCAGAGGACTGTGGCCCCTTTCGGGCCCCTCTGAGCTGGGCCCACAGCCATGGGGTCCATTTGGCTGCCGGGGCACCTGCACTCCAGCAGGCAGGGCTAAGGAAGAGCGCCTGGACGCCTGCTACAAGGTGTGCAGCCACCTGCCAGCACGACCTGCCTGTGCTTCCCTGATAAGATGGAGCCAGGGGCGGCCTGCTGTCATCACTCGCGCTTGTCTAGTGTGGGGACGTCCCCAGCAGAACCAGAGAACCACAGAGCCCGTGGAGGTCCCACTTGCTGTGGCTCTTCCCAAAGCTCCGGAGCATGCTGGCGGTGTGGGGAGAACAGTGACGGGCGGCTCTGGGAGCTAGCGCCCTGCAGCCATGTGTCCCTGGCCTGCAGGGACAGACCAGGGACAGCAAGCTGGCCTGGAGCCTGCTGCTGCCAGTCCAGATGTGGATGCTGAGTTCACAGGGACAGATACAGTGAGATGGGAGTACCCTCCGGGACTCAAACCCAGCAGGACTTAGTGGCCCGGTTGAGGACGGGCAGGCTGGCATGGGGCCCACTCCTCCTGGGAGAGGGAGAACAGCCCAGTCAGGGCAGCACAATCCTGGTATTTGCACATCAAAGAATAGATTTCCAGGACAAGTTGATGTATTAGATATCATTAGTTGTAGTAAAACTACTCCAAAATGTAGCTGTTTAAACGATACCTATTTGTCGCCCACCAGTTTGTGTCCAGCACTGCTGAGCAGGGCCTGCGCACAAGGTCCCTCAGGAGGCTTCCGCCAGGTGTGGGGTGGGGGGGCACGCTCTCACCTGCGGGCTAGGGGACTGTCCCCAAGTCCCCATAAGGTAGGAGCCAGTGCCGTTCCTTGTGGGCTGCCAGCTAGGCACAACCACCTCCTTCCACTCCGAGCCACACGGGCTGTCCCAGGGCGAGCCGCAGCAGGGCAACAGGCCGTCAGAGCGGCAAGCAAGCGAGCCCGAGGGCCGTGCCGCCCATCTTCTATGCGCTCCTCTCCTGGCGGCATCCCAGCACCACCTCTGTGTTCTCTTCCTCGGGTGGCAGGTGATAGGCCCAACCCCCACTCGGGAATGGAACCACAAGGCATGAGTACCCAGGGCAGGCTGCTGGGAGCCACTGAAACTAGGGGGACAGACACCGCAGTGAGTCTTCCACTTGGCGTGGCAAGCACACGACCCCCTGGGAAGGTGTGCACCTCGCAGCACCAAGCACAGCTGTGAGGAGAAAAGCCGCTGGCTGAGGTCAGGGAGGCACAGGGCCTCCCAGGCGCTGGAGCTGCAGTGTCCAGTCACGCTGGGGGACAGTCTCCCAGCTCCACAGCGCTCTGGCCTCAGGTTCCCGCTGGAAGGTCTGCAGTTTTGTGGCTGTCTCTCACCCTCTACTTTATCGGGTTAACACATCAATTGCTGCGTGAGTTGTATTTAACTCAGGCTAGTTTTGAGCCCAGGGATACGTGAAGCAAAACCCTGAAGTTGGTTCATGGAACTCTTACTTGTTAATGTTCAAGTGCTGTGGCGTCAGCCTAGCTCACAGCAACCTCAAACCCCTGGGCTCAAGCGATCCTCCTGCCTCAGCCTCCCGAGTAGCTGGGGTTACAGGCATGCGCCACCATGCCCGGCTAATTTTTTCTATACATTTTTAGTTGTCCAGCTAATTTCTTTCTATTTTTAGTAGAGATAGGGTCTCTCTCTTGCTCAGGCTGGTCTCATACTCCTGAGCTCAAACCATCTTCCCACCTAGGCCTCCCAGAGTGCTAGGATTACTGGCATGAGCCACGGTGCCCAGCCGCTTGTTGATGTTCTTATTACATAAGAATGTTACAATGTTATAATGTTACAAGTAATATTGACAATTTAATTCTAAAAAGGTGGTTTGCATTACATATAACTTATACACAGAAAACAATAAAAAATAACAAATTAGAAAGGACTGTTGTTTTAATAAAACACCATGGCCCCAGGGAATTTATTTTTATTTTTTTAGTGTGTTAAATGTTTCACGTGGAACTTACCCAGGCTGAGTGTGGCATCCAGGAGATTCCAGGGCGTGCTTACCATCTGGTTTTGATGATAGTTGTACAAACCCAGGCACATGAACAAATATTTTAAATAGAACATAAACATGTGCTCAAGCCACAGGTTCTGAGGGGCTGTGGAAGAAATGAGAACCAGGGAGTTAATCAAGACAGATGGGTCAGGCCCAAGAACAAACCTTTGCAGAAACTCTCCAGGCCTAGGCTGTGCTGCTGACCACGGCTGGACCTGGCCCACCTCCATCTGCTCCCGGAGCTGCAAATAGGCTTCTGTGGGTGGCCCTCTTCACTTTCTAGAAATATTAATGATTACAAACCACATGTTTGTAATTATTACATCTCATGTTTGTTGGTTTTTAGGGAAAGAAAAATGGAAAGGTTGGCTTCCCCAAGGAAGCATGTGGCTGAAATAGGCACAGAACTCATTTTTATCAATATTGCTGCTCCTTTATTGATAAACACGTCTCATGCCTTGGGATGCTCCTGCCCCACACTGGACGGCAAAGACAGCACTTGCCAGCTCTCCACACTCACCTCACAGGCCTGCGTCTGCTCTGTCACCAAAACAAGGGCG